TTTAAAACATGTCAATTGTTGAGTAAGATCAGTTACAATAATTATGAGTTTTGGGACTTCCCCACTACAATTGCTGGTAGACAAACAAGAAAACAAGATTTCTATTTTGACACAAAAAATATAATTTTTATTTTTTATTTACTTCCATAATCAAGCTTCAATACAACAAATTTTACACTCCATTCGAAGATGCACAGCGATTCCAGTATTTTAGAAACTCATTGAGAGAAATTCAAATTTTGAATGCTCAACAGCCTCACTATGGGGCAAAATGAAAAAAAAAGGGACTTTCACTTTGAAAAATGGACTTTTCCGATTTACACTTTTTGGGTGATTTTTTCTTGTAGAGGACATAAAAGTAGATAGAAATGCCAAATTTCAGGTCATTTGGTGCTGATTTCGCGATTCTAGAGCTGTTTGAAGTTGAAAACTAGTGAAAATTCTGGTTTTTTCATACCATGTTTGAACCGGGAAATATCTTAACTGGTTTAAGATATTGCAAAACGGTTTTCAGTTCCTATTAGTAGTATATAAGAGCTTTATTTTGACATATAACAAAGTTTAGGTTCTGAATGTTTTCGTGCCATTATGGTAGAACATATGTGAAAATTTCAGGAAAATTATCTTCAAACAAGCCGCAACTATCATAAATGAAGAGTTTCCAGGCAAGTAAAAACGCAGTTTTGTAGCCCCATATATCTAGTTTTCAAAACTGTATAAACTTTGAAAAAGTAAGCTAACGTAATTGAGTTATGTTGATTTTAGTAGGTCGTTGAGTATTTGGCCAAAAACTAATAATTCTTTTGAAAATACGAAAACATAGTTTTAAAAATAGTTTTTTGGTGTTTTCTTATGAAAAATAACAATTTAAATGATTTTGTGAAGAAAATTTTTCAAAAACTTCAAAATCTTTCGAGATATAGGGGGTATGTGCTCTCCATCGATTTGGCCATTTGTCACCCTACTTAAACCACTATAACTTTTTTTTGAAAAAATATTTTTTAATTCTGTTTTCGGATTATTGTAGCCTAATGTAATACCTATCCAACGATATATAATACTTGCTAGTTAACTTAGTCCTGGTTATTTATAGGGCTGTTGATTGTGACATACGCAGTTTTTGAAAAATTCCCAAAAATTGCATTTTCAAAAATACCACTTTTAAGCAATCTCGAGTATTTTTTTAGAACTTTTTTATGTTTATTTATGACATTTATGAGATTATAAAGCCAAAAAATTAAATTTAGAAACTTTTTACTTCCCTAGTTAACAACTTTGTAAAGTACCCTTGGTAGTCACTATCAGGTGTGAAAATCTCAGTTTTGAAACTATTTTATATATATACTCGTGAAATTCTCTCTACACATCATATCAGTTTTGAACTTCATTGAACAAGTCACTTTCAAAAATGAACCAAAATTCAACACTTACGAAGAAAACACTCTGTGAAATTCTTCGCGACAAAACGTTAAATCTTGCAACACAGCACACGTACTGTTTGGCAGTAATAGAAGAAATTCATGGGAGAGAATTAGCGGAATCACAGAAACCAAGTTTAATTAATAAATTAAACAAGCTGAAGTCAAAGTCAAAAATGTTTTGTAATCAGTCAAATTGGAATAATGCATTAAGAGATCATGCAGATTTCTATGAAGAGGAATTTGAAGTTGACTCACGATACTTCAGCGAATCTAGTGGAGGGATTCTTTTTGAGGAAGAATCTATATATGAAGCAGAAAATGTTACTGACACAGATGAAGATATGGATGAGATTGAATACATCGTCCATGACATAGAGCCTTCATCCAGCAAGGGCATCAAGAGGAAATCATTTGAACAACTAACAAGCGATAAGCATCGACGTAGAAGAGTGGACGAATTAGATATCAGTTTAAAAGAAGCAAAAGGATCATTGTTATCAGTTCTTCACTTGGCACTTCGCCTTTCTAAAGAAGAAGGAAAAGTAGAAGGAGCTAAAATGTTAAAAGAATTTATTAAGGCGTGCCAAAAAGGAGAGGATCTTCCAGAAAAAACTACATCAAAACCTAAACAACTAGATATACATGTAGCTCTAGGTGTAAAAGCCTTTAACAATTTATCTCGAAATCAGTACAACAATATTCGACAAGTCCTGAAACTGGAATGCGAAAACGTTTTACCGACAGCTAAAAAATTGTTGAGGTTAGAGAAACAATGCTATCCTGATGACATAACGGTCACCGATACAAGAGCCGTTATTCCACTAAAAAATTTGACACAACTCACCACAAAAAGAGTTATTGAAGCACACAATTCAGAAATATACGACAAAATCAAAATATTACCTTCAGAATCAACTCCAAAAGTTATTCATGCAGAAATGATCGTCACATGGGGGATGGACGGAACAACAGGACAGTCACAGTATAACCAAGGAAAAACAAATTCAAGAAATCAAGAACGAGATAGAACACAACCGAATCAAACGACTAATAATGAAATTATAGAAGACAAATCACTATTGACAGTTAGTATGAGTGTTCAGCAACTACGACATGAAGACGAAAACGGAAATTATATCTGCTTATGGGACAACGAAAACAGTCAATCTGTATACTCAGTACGACCAATACAACTTGAACATGCCAAAGAAACCAGAGTAAATGTTAGAAGGATATATGAAGATATAAAAAATCAAATATCAAAACTTGAACCACAGAGATTCATATGTGAAGACATGCTTTTGGAAATTACGTACAAATTCTACCCCACAATGTTAGATGGAAAAGTTTACACAGACCTTACAGAAACATCAGGATATTGCAGATGTCAGCTTTGTAGATCTGGACCAAACGAGATGAGTGACATAAATAATCTTGATAATGGAAGATTCGAAAAAACACACAGAAAATTTGTTAAAGAACACTTGTATTTCAACACTCAGCCACTTCATACATCAATGAACGTACTCACGACTCTATATGATTTGTCATATAAACAATATGTTCAAAAACACTGGCTGGAGATAACTGAAGAGGAACAGATTGTTTTAGATGTTGAAAAGGCTAGAATAAAGCAAGCAATGTGGGATGCATTTAATGTTCGTGTACTCGAACCAAGACAAGGGGGAGCTGGATCATCAGATACAGGAAACGTTGCAAGAAAAGTTCTTGAAAATCCAGAGCTTCTAGCTAAAACTCTATATCTTAATGAAGAAATAATTAAACGTATATGCTATGTGCTAAACCAAATTCGAAGTTTAGAACCAGTTGATGATCTAGATGAATTTGATAGGTACTGTAAAGAAACATACAGAATGTTTTTGACAACATATAGTTGGTTCAAAATACCAGTAACACTTCACAGAGCACTTGCTCATGCAAAACACTACATGGAAGCCTTACCATTACCTCTAGGAAGAATGAGTGAAGAAGCCGGGGAGTCACAAAACAAATATCTCAGACAAGATAGAGAACTACGTGCCAGAAAAACTTCAAGAATACACAGTTTTACGGATGTTATACATAGAAGACTCTACAGTTCTGATCCAGTAATAATAAAAAAATATATGGATGTAATAAATAAAAGGTTAATGAGAAAAAATGTCCAAGAAGAAGGTGAAACACCTGAGCAACAAACAGAAAATGAGGAAAAAGATGAGGAAGAAATTGAATTGATTGAGCCAGAAGGAGAAGGTTATGACTTTTCCCAAGCAGAAAACTATGATTATTCCGAAGGACAAGACCATGAATATTCTGAAGAAGCAAACAACGAATGAATAAATAAATTTCATTAAATATGATAAAAAAATGTAAATTAAATTTCTTGACAAATAAACAAAATTTCATTAAACTAAAAATTAAACTTTATTAATTTTACCTATTATAGTTGCGTATCAGAGTATTTTTTTTATTACTCTAATGATAATAGCTTTTTTCAGACTTAACATTTCTTAAAAAAGTCCAAAAAATACTCGAGATTGCTTAAAAGTGGTATTTTTGAAAATGCAATTTTTGGGAATTTTTCAAAAACTGCGTATGTCACAATCAACAGCCCTATAAATAACCAGGACTAAGTTAACTAGCAAGTATTATATATTGTTGGATAGGTATTACATTAGGCTACAATAATCCGAAAACAGAATTAAAAAATATTTTTTCAAAAAAAAGTTATAGTGGTTTAAGTAGGGTGACAAATGGCCAAATCGATGGAGAGCACATACCCCCTATATCTCGAAAGATTTTGAAGTTTTTGAAAAATTTTCTTCACAAAATCATTTAAATTGTTATTTTTCATAAGAAAACACCAAAAAACTATTTTTAAAACTATGTTTTCGTATTTTCAAAAGAATTATTAGTTTTTGGCCAAATACTCAACGACCTACTAAAATCAACATAACTCAATTACGTTAGCTTACTTTTTCAAAGTTTATACAGTTTTGAAAACTAGATATATGGGGCTACAAAACTGCGTTTTTACTTGCCTGGAAACTCTTCATTTATGATAGTTGCGGCTTGTTTGAAGATAATTTTCCTGAAATTTTCACATATGTTCTACCATAATGGCACGAAAACATTCAGAACCTAAACTTTGTTATATGTCAAAATAAAGCTCTTATATACTACTAATAGGAACTGAAAACCGTTTTGCAATATCTTAAACCAGTTAAGATATTTCCCGGTTCAAACATGGTATGAAAAAACCAGAATTTTCACTAGTTTTCAACTTCAAACAGCTCTAGAATCGCGAAATCAGCACCAAATGACCTGAAATTTGGCATTTCTATCTACTTTTATGTCCTCTACAAGAAAAAATCACCCAAAAAGTGTAAATCGGAAAAGTCCATTTTTCAAAGTGAAAGTCCCTTTTTTTTTCATTTTGCCCCATAGTGAGCCTGGTGCTCAATTTGGATTGAACCAACTCAGCGATAGAAGTCCTGAAGAAATTAGAGCTATGACGGGATTGGGAAGATAGATTTAATTTATTTAATTAAAATCTATTTTTAAATGAAAAAAAAAATAAAATCTCAATTTTTTCAAATTAAATTCTAAAATTCTCTTTTCAAAAAATTGATAAAAAAAATCTCTTTTGTCTGCGTTTTAAAATATTTCGAGCTTATATCTCCCGAAAAGGTCAGTACAGATTAAGCTTCACATTCTGCATCTTCAATTAATTAGAAATTTATTCACCGAAACATGAGCAAACTAGTTTTGGTTGTTATTTTATTAATAATTGGATTGATTACATTTAATCATGCATTATCAATTGAAGCGGAATGGACAAATTATAAGGTGAGTTATGGATTGAATAAATTTATGGAGTGTGGGTCATTAATAGAAGTCGATCAGTGTTGCATTCTGGCCATTTTTCTGGATCAGATAAATTCTGAGACAGAAATTTCTTCATAAAGATCGATTCTACATGAAGATAGAAAACCAAATCTACACAAAGATTATTTCTACATAAAGAATCTGTCTACATAAAGATTCGATGTAGATGTCTACAATTCTACATTCTTCTCTGATGTAGACCTAGAAAAAATGTAGAATTGTAGACATCTACATCGAATCTTTATGTAGACAGAATCTTTATGTAGAAATAATCTTTGTGTAGATTAGATTTTCTATCTTCATATAGAATCGATCTTTATGAAGAAAGTTTCTTAGCTAGACAAAAACTATTGAAGAATCTACATTCTTCATCCAGTATAGACATCTACATTTGCAACACTGAAGTCGATGATGAGGCAACTCGGGGGGTTTAGAAGAACCGACAGAGAAGAACCTTGTTCTGGTTTCAAAACAAGCTAAATGTGTGCTTAAATCATTGCGCTTCAGGGCGTCATTTCCAAATACAACAACCAAGACTTGATCATTTCTTAACAAAGACTAAACTGGATTTAAAAACAATGTTTCAAAAGATCAACAAACTCAATAACATTCAAAATTTTGTTCTTATCTGTCATTTACCTACCACAACAAAAACTCTATAGACATTCACACAAACATGTTTACTTCTTACTGTCTCATTATCTCATTCATAATTTATTTTAGCAAAAATACAACAAAAACTATGGCTTGAAAGAAGATGCTGAACGTTTTGAATATTTTAAAGATTCACTGAGACGAATTGAAGAAGGAAATGCCAAATCTATACGAGAGGGATCGAGTTTTCGAATGGGAGTAAATCATTTGGCTGACATTAGTCCAGAAGAATGGAGAATAATGAGTCATGGAGTAAGAATGCCATAAATAAAAAATAATTTCGAGCAATAAATTATAAATTTCTTCTTTTTTTATCATCAAATGGATTATTAGCAGTTGCTTTCAGTGTTGGATATTGGATGGAACTGAAAGTTGGTTTGTTAATTCAAAGGAATGGCTTGATTGGGTTTTTTAGGAGATTAGAGCGCATTTTTGTCTAGTTTGAAATTGTTTATAGAACTTACTCCATGCTTAAGAAAGTCTTAGAGATCACAGCGATCTCTTGCACCCAAAATGTCATCCGAAACCCCACAAAATTCAATCCACAACCCACAATATCAACAGCTCCTCTAACCACCACTCAAAACGTATATTAAGCTCAATTTATTTCCCAATAATAATTTAAAAACCACCTCAATTTATCCACTTCCATTGCAAAGAGCCAATTTTTCAAAACTCGAACAGCATAACGATTGAGGATGAATGTTGAAAAATTATGATAATTCATATTATTAAATTCAACTGCTATCAAACAAAAACGGAAAAGAAAAGATGAAATATTCCCAACTGTAAATACAAAGTTATGATTGATCACATTTCAATAACCTTTTTATTGTAAAGCAATCTGTTGCAAGCTTTATTTTTTGTACTGCATTCGACAGTTTTAAGCGAGTAGTTTTGGGAATCGGATTTTTTATTGTTGTGTTTTGCTTTATGGTTGACAGACTGGGAGAAATTAATAAAAATTGGATTTGTATAGGGCGGTTGAGTGGGTAATTGTGGTTGGATAGGGGTTAGTTAAGGCTTGCTTGTGGATTGTTTCAAATGTGTTGTTCCATTTTTGGTACCTTTAATTACTATTTGACAGGTAGGGGAGTTTTTAAGTGTCACAAAATGTCAATGATCCTTGATAGACATCATTTGTGACTGACTCCTTAAAGGCTGCTCATAAATGACGTACAACATTGACAAGGGAAGGCTTCAAGTTTTGTAATAAAGTATTGAAATCTCGATTTTTTATCGACGTTATTTATGAACAGCCCCGTACAAAAATATAAATTCTATAGAATTTCAAAAAAGCGCCAGACCCTAATTCAGTCTTGTCAAAACTTTTTTGAGCCACAGTACACCTTATGGGTAAGCCATTACCAAAGTCGCACAGAACATGTGGCTCGCGCAACACACAGTTTGGACAACACTGCCTTAATCGAATCTACAGCCATATCAAGAAGTTTCCAAAAAACTTACCAAAACTTTCAAAAATGCGCTCAACTCCCTTTCAATCCAACAACTTCCTCACAAAACTTATAAAATATTTTTCCACTTTATTTCATCTTTCCTTCCTTCTTTTCATACATTTTAAGCAGAAAGAAAAAATTCTCGTCGTTCTGCATCTGATGATTAAATGTATTTTATAATCCACAGCAATTTTTTTTTCTCTCGATGCTTCACTATTTTTCATTCTTCACACATACAAAAAAAGGCAGCAGCATCAAGTTCTTTCATAGAAAAAATTCAATTGTGATGATGATAAAATAAAAGCATAAAAAATGTATTTGCAAGTTTGATGAAGCTTAAGAATTATTTTTGAATGGCGAAGTTTTTTGTTTAAAAGTTAAACGACGTAAATGATGAGAAGTTTGTCTGTTGAATGGACTTCGATGTTTAAAACTTTTTGAAGGAATTTACAGAGATTGGTTGAATATTAAGTGACTTGACTAAGCGGGCGGAGCTTTAGTTCCACTTGAGAAAGGTACGGAGGTTACAAGATTCAGCATTTAAATGACTATCTACACCCCTAGTAAGCCACAACATCCGAACGCCTCCATCAAGTCAAATAAGTCGTTTAAAATGCTAATTTTCTTCCTACTCGCTCGACCTTCCCAATAATCACAAATTACTGCAAATTACTTCCAAACAAAAATTCCAATTTAACACCTTAAAATCAAACAAACCAAAAATCAACATTGCCAGTTCCCAAAATACCCAAATTGAAATTCAAATGACACCACAAAATAAATTTACAAAAGCTTTAATTTCTCAACCTAGAAGAAAATTTGAAAATTCCATAAATAATTCATTGTTACAGGTTCCTGCTAATTAATCTGACGTCATTAAGCATCAATTATTTACATCATTTTCCACAGACTCAATTTGTTACAGATCAAAACTTCTTCTAGACAAAATGACAAATTTTCTGAACCCAAATAAGCTCCTTAGAAACCCAAAAAGAGACTTTCAGCATAAAAATCATGCATCATTGAAATTTTATGTAGATGAAATGCAAAATATATGCTTGTTGGAATGAAGGAGGAACTGAACGAGGAAAACAAAGTTCCTTGATGTGAATTTTATGTGAAATGTTTGCAATTTGTTGTGATATTGTAGTTTAAGGCATAGCTTTGAGTTCCATTATTGTTTAAGCCTCTGATGCTGGTTGCAAGCTTGAATGCGTGATAAAGCATGCCCAGGGGTGCTTTTTTGTGATAATCTTAAGCTGCAAATCAGAACGGTGCTTCCGGGATTAGCTGAACCTTGAGCCACTCGATTGACTGGCCCTTGGACTTAATTAGATTCAGAAAACTCGGACAAACAACACTGTTGACCTTTAAGGCTTAGTCTTACTCTTACACCAGCTAAAAATCATAAGGATACCAACTCCAACCCTAGTTAAATCAAAACCTAAATATTATCCCCAAAAATCCACACAACATTCACCACAAGATCATGAACAACATCAAGCTTGCGGTTGAAGAGGAAAGAATGAAATTAGCAATTTTATTGCTTGATTGTTAGATCACTCGTAACATCTTTTCTATCCATCAACCTTTTCTATAACAATACCAACAACATACATACATGCTAATGCTTCATGTAAAGCATGGAAAAAAATAGAATGAAAAATTAAGATAATGGATGATGTTGATAAATCGATTTACATAAAAAAATACGATGTAGAATGGGAGAATTTTTCAAATATTTGCCTTAATGTAATTCTGTTGCTATTGATGATGGAGTAAGTGAGATGAAAGAAGAACAGCGACACGAGTTTTATTATAAATTGTCATAAAGTCATGAGGTGCTTGATGCCTTGTGTTTTGAGGTGGGTTTATTGAGCATTGTTGCTGGTTGTATTTGATGAATTAGGTATTGAGGCACTAGAGGAAGGACTGAAACTAGAAGCTAGTCTGTTCCTTGAACCTAGTCTGTTGCTTGAAGCTAGTCTGAATCTAAAAGCTAGTCTGAATTTAAAAATCTAGTCTGAATCTAAAAGCTAGTCTGAATCAAAAAGCTATTCTGAATCTTAAAGCTAGTCTAAATCTAAAAGCTAGTCTGAATCTAAAAGCTAGTCTGAATCTAAAAGCTAGTCTGAATCTAAAAGCTAGTCTGAATCTAAAAGCTAGTCTGAATCTAAAAGCTAGTCTGAATTTAAAAATCTAGTCTGAATCTAAAAGCTAGTCTGAATCAAAAAGCTATTCTGAATCTTAAAGCTAGTCTAAATCTAAAAGCTAGTCTGAATCTAAAAGCTAGTCTGAATCTAAAAGCTAGTCTGAATCTAAAAGCTAGTCTGAATCTAAAAGCTAGTCTGAATCTAAAAGCTAGTCTGAATTTAAAAATCTAGTCTGAATCTAAAAGCTAGTCTGAATCAAAAAGCTATTCTGAATCTTAAAGCTAGTCTAAATCTAAAAGCTAGTCTGAATCTAAAAGCTAGTCTGAATTTAAAATCTAGTCTGAATCTAAAAGCTAGTCTGAATCTAAAAGCAAGTCTGAGTCTAAAAGCTAGTCTGAATCTAAAAACTAGTCTGAATCTTAAAGCTAGTATGAAGCTAGAACGTTATCTGAAGCTAGAAGCTAATCTATAGCTTGAAAAAAAAAAGCATTTCAAACCAACCAACCTCCTCATCCTTAAAACTCACTCAAAAACAAAAATTCAACTTTTTATCTAAACATCAAAATTAAATTCTATCCATAAAATTGAATATGTGTGTACGATAAAAATAGCAGAAAAATGATGAACGACATGATCTGAAAGCCACACAGTTGCAAACAAAGAAGAAGTTTCTCCATCAGCACTTTTACATTGTAACTCATTGTTCACGCTAATTGAAATTGGATGATTAAATTTACTTCTCATTATTTTCAATCCACCCACACAAAAAAAAAAGTTGCTGAACGTGATCTAAGTTTTGAAAATTTACGGATAAATGGAAGTTGGGATAAAAAGTAATTAAAGCTAGCTGATGCATGCTGAATTTTTGGGAGAAGCGAAGTTTGTTACTGAGACATGATTGTTGGTGAAAGCAGATGGGAATCAGTTTTAAGGGGGTCATTAAACAGTGATAACTCCCGCAAAATTAGATTTCAAGTGTAAGCTCATTTTTATTTATTCGTCCTTAAATTCATGTTTGTTCTCTAATATTTAAAATAGAAAGAACGAAAGTAATTTATTATGTTTAAATTCAAATACCGCCAGCATTAACAAAACTGTATAAATAGTACATTTTTTTCTACAGCACATACAATGGAATTTTTTTATTCCAACATCCTTCCAACTTATATAAAGTGAATGCATTAATGAAGCAACTCAGGATAAATAAATTCAATAAGACAAAGACATGGCTTTGCGTGATATGTGTGAAGAGAATTAGCATTAAAATAGGTTGGTGGAATTGAATTGTTGGAAAATGTGGGAGCTTTTAGGTATTTTGTGAGTATTTGTTAAGTTTTAGATTCGTCTTAGCTTCTATTTTTGAAATATTTGTTTACAGACAATTCTAAGTCTGCATCTGAGTGTCCAAAAACATCATGAATAGAAGCCTTTGACAATTAACCCTTAAAATCTTTAAGATTTCAAAAGTCCTTAAAAGAACCAAACCAGTTCGATTCTATCCTGTGAAAAAATTACCATAAACATCCAAAACAATCACTCAATCAAGTCACACGAGTTGCAAATAAAAAATTGCTGTTTAAATAATAATTACACGTGATTCTAAAGCGATTGTGTCGCTCTCCAGCAGCAAGCGTTTACCAAATAATGTATCCACATATGCTCCACATCCTCATTGAAATTCAAAATGGG